TTGGGGGGTCCTGGATGGGATTTGGGGAGATTTTGGGAGGATTTGGGGGGATCTGAGGGGGTTTGGGGGGGATTTGGGGAGGATTAGGGGGGTCCTGGGGGAATTTGGGGGGATTTGGGGAGGGTTTGGGGGGTCCTGAGGGGATTTGGGGGTTCCTGGATGGAATTTTGGGCCGATCCAAACCTTTTCCACCTCCCTGATTTATTTGGATCCCCAAAAAATCCCCCAAAATTCCCCAAAATTTCCCAAATTTTCCTAAAAATTCCCCAAAATCCCCCCAAAATTCCCCAATTTTCCCAAAAATTCCCGAATTTTCCCTCCTGCAGCTTCTCCAGATCGTCACCAACGCCCGGCAGGGCCACACGGGGCAGCTCTCGGGGGTCTCCACGGGGCTCCTTTTTGGGGGGGCCCTGGCCCGAATTTTCACCTCCCTGACGGTGAGACCCCTCCCCAAAAATTCCTCAAATCCCCCCAAAAATTCCCAAAAAAATCCCGGATTTCAAAACCCCAAAAAAAAAAAACCCTGAATTTTTTACTCAAAATTGGTTAAAATTCACCCAAAATTGGTTCAGGATTCGTCACTTGAGGTGAGACCCCTCCCCAAAAAATTCCTGAATCCTAAAAATTCACCCAGGACCCCCCAGAATTCACCCAAATTCCATCCAGGATTCCCTAAAAATTCTCAAATTCTCCCTCAAATTCTCTCAAAACCCCCCAAAAATCCCCAAATTCCTTTAATTTTTAAAAATTCCTCCAGGATCTCCCAAAATCCCAAAATTCCCCCCTCAAATTCCAGTTAAAATCCCCAAATTCTCCCCTAAAATTCCCAAATTTCCCCCCAGAATCCGTCAGGATTTTAAATCTCTCAAAATTTCCTCCTAAATCCCCAAAATTTTACATTAAAACCCCAAAAATCCCCTCGAGACCCCAAAATTCTTCCAAAAATCCCCAAAAATCCCCCAAAAATCCCCCAAAAAACCCCAAAAATCCCCCAAAATCCCCCCAAAAAACCCCAAAATTCCCAAAAAAAACCCAAAATTCCGAAAAAAACCCCAAAAACTCCCAAAAAAATCCCAAAAATCCTTTTTAAACCCCCAAACTTTTCCTCAAATCCCTTCCAGGACCCCCAAAATTTCCCAAAAACCCCCAAAATTCCCAAAAAAACCCCAAAAATTCCAAAAAAAACCCCAAAAATTCCCAAAAACCCCCAAAATCCCCCCAAAAAAACCCAAAAATCCCCAAAAAACCCCCAAAAATTCCCCAAAAACCCCCAAAAATTCCCAAAAAAACCCCAAAAATCTCCAAAAAAAAACCCCAAAAATCCCCCAAAAAACCCCAAAA